AGCGTATCATTGAATTGTTTGACAGGCATTACTTAGAAGTTGACGGATGACAAAGTTGACATTGTATCGGCGATGTTGAACATCGGGTCAGAACCACAAGTACAAATATAGGTGTCAGTCTAGGTGGTAACATAAACACACTGCCATATTTCAAGCTGAAGGCAAATGGTTGACAGTTTGCCAACAGGTTTTACAACATGGCTGACAGGGAGGCCATCTTTGAAAATCCGATGGAATCCCCTATATTAGATGAAAGTGTCATCATCAGTTGTTGCTGTATACACAAGTATGAAGCAAGTTTACTGTTTGCGGTAGACGATGTTTTGAGCTCACTTCACCATTCGTTTCGGTAAGCTATAGATATAGAAGAGTGTTACTAAACCTAATATTCTGTAGAACTTAATCATGTTAGTGTGCTTGAATTTGTCGCGTCCATTTCGTGGAAGGAATACCCATATAAATACCCCCAAGGCATTGACGGGTTTTTTAGTATTCCGCATTACAGTGCCTTGGGGATCACACAATCAATATAAAGCATCACATTGTTCCAAACCGCGTGGCGCTCTTATAAGATGATTATCTGAAGCATGTTACAAATTTGATTGGAGGCTATTACATCCCCAGAGTAGGTATGGAAGATTCTGAAATCCTTCGATTGTTTAAAAGAGCTAATGAGAACTAATAGAGGGTAAAAACATAAGCCATGATATTCTTTTGATTGCATGTGTCTCTTTCTACAGCCGATTGAAATGGAATAAAAAGCAGCATCTCAATTACTGCTATTATGACTGACTGCGGGTGAGTAGTTCACTTAATATCACGGTGTGTCAAGTTTCATGTGGGACGAATACTCGAAAGTGATACAGGATGTTCTTGGAAGTGGAATTAATTCCTTGTGGATTCTCAAAACCTCATACGATGTGCTAGAATGTTTGCATTCTCAGAAAAGAACCAAGTTCAATTAGGTCAAAACATTTGATTTTTTCGATTTGGACACCGAAATCCCAGACGAAAAACTTGGAGCATTCGTCACTATACGTGGTGACAATAGGTTAAGTTACATCCCTTTCTTCAAACATTCAGTCAAAATTTAAAGTAAATATCATCTGATGTTTACTAAGAAAGCAAAATGTGAAATGCTAGACTTCCTCATCGACAACATCCATGAGACACTTTGTGGACAGGACATTTAGGCAAGAAGTAAGCATCCCCATGGGTACCAACTGTTCTTCCCCTCCTTGCTGATCTGTTTCTGCATGTATTCGAGTAAGAATATCTGCTCGGACTGGCAAAATAAAAACAAGGCAATTGGCCCAAACAGTTAAACTTAAGCTTCTGGTACATCGATGATCTGATACCGTTCAATATTAGTCTGCCAGCCAATTCCTTCCAGTATGGTAATCGTTGAAGACATATGCCAAACCCAGGCATGAGTTCTATCAACTTTTGATTTGGCTCTAAATCCGAAGACATTTCCATTGCTTCTTTTGTACTGGACTCTACAGCTCCATATAAAACAGCTGCAAAGGAGATGTATTACTGGGCACAGCAAATGTACCATCAAATACCCCTCTTAACGATTACCCATAGGCCTTAATACACTCAACGAAGGAGTTCTTTATATCCACAGAAAGTGTTTGAGACAAGTGGAAAACATACAATGTTGATTCTCAAAACCTCAAGGATTTCTTGAATATTTAAAATCTCAGAAAAGAACCAAGTTCAATTATGTTCTTTTATAATTAACCCATTATCTTAAGTCCGCCAGTATAAATCTAAGACATGTGCTGCTCTAGCTGCCCTCTCACATCAACCTTACATCCAGGATATCACTGAAATACTGTTCTATAAGGCGTTAAATCTGACCATTGATCTCAAGAGAACTTCTGAAGGACTACAGCTAGTACTGACCAGTCATAAGGCCTCATGTCTCTAGACCTCCTCCACCAACGACCCCAGGACGGTTGAATGTAGGGTGGCAAAAAAAGGCTTCGACTTAAATGACTTGAGTTACATATATCCTAATCTTCCTTGTAAACCTCCGTGATATCTGTTAGAATGTTCAGTTAGAACCAAAGCAGTCTGTAAGGTTAATGGATCAGGTCATATGGGTTTTCTCTTCAGCCTGGGACTACTTCAGTCAACAACAGAAAAGGGCGGAAATTTCCATAAAAATGGCATTGACAAGAAAAACAGTGAGGATAATTTGAAAGAATATTTCAGTCTTTACGAATAATGGATGCGATAAGAAACTCCGCAAATGCTACAATTAAATTTCTTTTCCTATCTAATTTCGCTTCACAGTGTTTATCTGCTGCTTTAAACTTTATACATGCAATTGCCCGAATTTGTCTTCAGCATCCCCGGGGAATCTCCTCGGAAGACCTAACTACTAGACCAACAAACGTTTGCAGACTTTGAGAGATGGGCCACCATACATCAGGGTAATGCTTCCCTGCTAAAGTTTAATAACTACAATTGAGAACATGCTGAAATCCCGTAAGCGGCTTGGAGGAGCTCGGATCAATTGAAGCACACCATGATGGAGCAGCATGTAGCACAAGGGGCGAGATTTCCGTTTATCGGTTATCGCCCTTGGAGACAAAATAACTTGAATTCGTAAAGTCAATGCATCGCGGTATAAAACTGATAGACGTGAATTACGCTTGCCAATGTATCTATCATCTTTTTTTACAGCACCTAATGTTATTCTGGTCAATAGATACAGCACGGTACGGACTGAATCTTTATCTTAGTTTATGCATCTTCTGTACAAATAAAAGGAGTCGGGCTCAAACTGTCACAGCTTAAGTAGCATCCTCACGCATTTACATGAGAGTAACGTTTGTACATTCTACAGAAAGGAAAAAAGAAGAAGGCACCAACACACGTTTTGGCATGTAAAGACACTAAAATATATACCAGTGGTTTCTACTTGATATCGACGACTCTCCTTGTGTCCATGTGTCCATTGTAAGAGTTTGAGAAGCCGATTGAATTCTGATTAACACCCATCTAAATTCCAGTGCATTCAACGTTTCTCTCTAATGTCCTCCCCGCGAATTATCCAGGTCGTGTTTCAGATGTCGGAGGGACGGAGACACACAGGAGAAGTGAAGGATGTGGAGTGTGCTACTACCTGTATCTGACGGACGCTGTCAGAGGCTACTGTAATAAAGTGTGTGTTCATCTCCGCCGACTGCGTCTCAAGAGGGCGGGCGAACCAGTGTTCTACACGTCCATCTGTGAGTTGCTACACTTCAAGACGTGGTCGATGGGAGACTGACATTCTTGATCACTGCAATATTCCTTTAGAGTGTCTTGTCATAAAGTGTCAACATGGTTAATAACCCCCAACAGCCCTCGACTTTCAGATGTTCGTACTGTTCTTAAAATGAGATTTGATTAACTATACTTGTATATATATATTTTTTTTCTGCAGTTCTTTTTATTTTCCTCTAGTGACTGATATGAGTGACGAGTTGTGTGTTGTTGTTGTTGTTGTTGTAGTTGTTGTTGTTGTTGCTGTACGCGACAATGATCCAGTTACTAAATGGTCGAATCTGGTACAGACAGACCAACGGGTGATAGCATGAAACCCCGGCGCACACATCGGGAAGGTCACTCATTGTATCGAACCAATCCTCATTAAAGTCGGCTCCCCGGGCAAGAGTGGTGCCACAATGGACCACATTCTGCCCCCCGTCCCTTCATGAATACAGCGAGATATAATGTCGTGGGTATATAAAGCCGGGCAATATATAGTATACACCCATGTTTGACGGTGGCTTGAATGAAACAAACAAGAAATGATTATTCGATGATGATGTATTTGTATGTATCATTGTTATGTTTTGGACCCTACGGTTGCAGTGTTTCGGCGAATGTTTTAGTAGCGGTTTGATAACGTTAGTTTTTTTGGGTCACATCCAATGATCAAGTGCAAAGTGTACACTTTCTTTTACCCGGCTGATATTTCATCAAATGAGTTGATATCATTTATTATATATATATGGAAGCACATGACATATATTCCTATTTAATATCTTACATAAAAATGATAATAAACATGTATTTGATCTATACTGTTCAAGAACAATGAAATTACAGCTTTTATAAATACAAAAGTCGTTTGTGCCGGAGCTCATCTTGACGTCTGGGGCTCATGATTTGCTTTTTTCTTAAAGAATTCTAATATGCTGAAACCATAATGCCTTCTTTACATTTGTAAGAGTGTTCAAGTGCCATTTTCTCTTTCCAAAATCTTGGCATCCAGCATGGAAGGGATGTTTGTCACGAAAGGGGACGATTTAAAACTGCGCCATTTTAAAAAGAGATCCCCGATATATATTCTGACAGACACGTGTAGGGAACACGGTCATACTTTAAGCCGTATTATACAAATAGCAGCAATCTAGTAGGGAGTGGATTTATTCTCCCTAGTAGCGAGTGGATTTATTCTCCAAAGCTAAATTGATGCGGACACGCAAGACTTAAGTGTCCTCTCTAGGATGGTCCCGTACGTGCTGACCTGAAGCACTACATCTTTAAAATCACATATACACACACAAGCACACACACACACACACACACACACACACACACACACACACACACACACACAAGCACACACAAGCACGCACACACACACACAAGCACGCACACACACACACACACACAAGCACGCACGCACGCACACACGCATACGCACACGCACACACACTTTGTTTTCATGCACAAAGAGTGAGTGAGTATGATTTTATGCCGCTTTTAGCAATATTCCAGCAATATCACCGCAGGGGACATGCACAACGAAAAGCCGTAAACAATAAAATAGAACAAATAAATGTCTTAGGATAGATGTGCTAATTACGAACCTGCTAGGTGATGGTAGTCCATTATATAGGTTGGTCATTATGATATGTTGGTTATCAATAAAATATCTATATTTGTGTAGTGTTTGTTGTGTTGTGTCTTGGAAACAGCACATACTCTCTGGATGGTTTTCAAGTTTATTTCTAACAACTCAACAAATCATACGTCCGGAACCTACAATGACATCTAGAATGTATAAACGTTGCATGATTCAACATGACGGCTGTACACATACACCCGCCTCTGGATATAACTCAAGGGACCTTCGAAATATGTTCGTTATGTCGATGGTTCTGTATGCTAAGTGTTGTTATGCCGAAATTCGTTATGTCAAAGTTCGGTATGTAGAAGTTCGTTATGCCGAAGTTCGGTTTATTCAAGTTCGTTTTGCCGAAGTTCTTCGTTAAGCTGAATCTTAATTTCGTCATTTGTTGTTCCAACTTGCCACTAGTGGAATATTCCTTATACAGACTTCGTTATATCCGGAGTGGAGTGTACTGACATATGTTATACTGTGAAGCAAACAGACATGTAGAGATACGGTGCGGTGGTAAACCTCACATCATAGCCGACAATGGTGTTACGCTAACACTACGCACGTCTCCTATCACCGTATCCATCATTATAAATGATAAACACACATCAAATATGGGTTTGATTCAAGGTACTTCACAAATGGCGCATACTTTATTAATGTGCGTTTTTGACACTGAAATCACAGACAATACCAATATATCACGCATGTGGCACTGACGTTTCTAGGATGCCAGTCATGAGAAATTAACATACATCCTCTGTTGTTTTAATGAATGAATATGTAGCAATACCTTTATTTCTGAAACGTATTTCAATGGTGTACACTTTTCAAAAGACCATGAACGTATACACAATATAAATTCAAATACAACTCACAACAACCCATCTATTCACAACGAGGCTTGTAGGCTTCCCTTCAGCAAACATCGATGTATGTCGCCATGTTTTAGGGGGGAGATAACCCTATATTCACGGAAAACGAAACATGTCATCGACAGCAGACCTAACCAGTGTTTGTTTTTAAAATAACTGAAAAACTGAAAAAATTTCTAAAACTTTCATTTAGAAATAGTTGATTTCTGAATATATTTTAAGGAACGGCAGCACTAACGCACACAGACAGCAGCCTTTCAAACTAGGCATGCGCAGAACAAGAAGGACGTTGACAGTCATGATCATGAGGATCAGCAGACAGCGAGTACAGTGACATCTCACAGCGGAAATACAACAGTACACACCCAGAATAGTCTATATTGGCATTGTAAGGTGTATATTTACTCGGTGTTTGTTGATCCTCATGATCATGACTGTCAACTTCCTTCTTGTTCTGCGCATGTCTAGTTTGGAAGGCTGCAGTCTGTGTGTTTTAATGCTGCCGTTTCCATGATTTCGGCAGTTCTCTGATTTATAATGCTGTTTCTAAGATTTTGGTTACGTTCTCATTGTTTTATGTTGCCGATGCCTTGTATATTGTAGACATATCCTAGTTTTTTGTTGCAGTCTGTCAGTTTTCACTGGTAGACCTGTTCTTGGAAAGCCAGTCATTACATGCATTCGACTCTGGGAAATGTGTCACTGGTGTCGTTACACGCATGCAGTTCTGGGAAGAGAGTTCATTCCATGTTCTTTCCAAGCTGGGAAATACAACTTTTCGCCCAGTGATTCTAATGGCCTTGATATAGTGACGTTACCGTAATCATATACAGTGGCATGTTATCTAACAGGAAATGAAATAATGATTGTAACATGGCATACATAGTATTATATATATATTGTTTGAACGATCACTGACTTGGCCTACAGATATGAGACTATGTATACCACCGCTAATGACAAGGTCTGCACAATTGGGTTATGACCGAATACAAAACGACTCATACAGTAACATGATAAACATATACAAATTAACATTTGACAGGGATGTAATTCATAAATATTCCATGATACACCAAATGGATTACTTATAATATGTGTAGGCAATATTTGCAGTATGACAATGTCCCAGCAAAAGAATAGTATATATTCTTGATATTTACAAGAGAATGGAGAGAGATAAATACTCGTGACATATCTCCAGTCAAACCTGGACTGCGACCGTAATATAAACATACATCGGTATGATATCCAATACAAATAGCATCAATACAATATTCATAATACATATCACATTCTTCCAATTTACAGTGACGATACTGATAATAGAAATGTTTCTGCTTGGAGTTGAGGAGTCATATATATTTACACAGTGTAGTACGTCAGTTTCAAGGTCAGGAACAGAACCGGATATGTGGGTTATTACTTTTGATGTTCTTACAGGTATATATATGCTCACCGACAGAAACGCGAATAACATACATGTTGGTTCATATATGAAGAATTACACATATTCAAGAGATATAGTATTGGTTCGATGCACAAACGAACATACTGTAATGTTTTGTGAGCCGACGCTCATGAACGCATCGCACGTGACGTCATATCCATGACTCGAGATGCACCATTTGTCTCGTGCAGAATTAGCATGTAAAGTTTGGAAATCACGTGCAGCATGTCGTGCTAAGAATAAAGCAACTCTGTGGTAACACTTGACTGATTGTTAATTTTGTCATTAAGTGGTACATATTGGAAACATTTCTTCTTAACGTACATACTGCTCTACATTGTTGTATGGTTCGCGTTTCTTTTGCGGTGAGTATATATGTTCTCTGCATCATAGCATATATTCACCTGATGAAGGTGTAAGTATATACTCCCAAAAGGTATGTCCCTCATAATAAAGAAGTATTCCTTCTTCCTTATGTATTATTACTTCCGTCCCTTACACAGCGTTGGGGGGCGGTCGGGTAGCCTCGTGGTTAAAGCGTTCGCTCGTCACGCCGAAGACCCGGGTTCGATTCCCGACATGGGTACAATGTGTGAAGCCCATTTCTGGTGTCCCCCGCCGTGATATTGCTGGAATATTGCTAAAAGCGGCGTAAAGCCATATTCACTCACTACACAGCGTTGGGGTTGACCTGTTCCTGAAGGTCACGTTATTACAAGAATACAGCTGGAGACTATATTCACAACTCTGCACGTGTATTACAGAACATGTATGTACATTGTTAGTGCAATACATCCTCGAAAGTGCGGTATCACTATTCTTCCAATGGCAGGGATGGTAATATGTACTCGAAATGAACTTGGCAATTACACCTGAAGGAGAGAGCATCTCTGTCTTTGATAACAGTGCCCGAGTTAATGGGTACTGCAAGTAGTCAAGACAGGCTCACCCGTTTCTCAAACACCCATGTCATCATAACTTTACAATGATTCAGAGTCACTTCAGTTATGTGTGTGAAGAAGTATATAAAGGTCTTCAGCTTCTATTTTTAAGGAGAATATGTTTTGTCAAACCATGGTCACAACTCAACAGAAACAGATTACAAGGAATCCTGACCATATGTCATACTAACAACGACAAGAACGATTTAATACTTGTCCGTGATCATATCACATATGTAATATCGTTCAAAGGTGTGATTTTCAAATCCTGTCTCCCTGTTCCCTATAGTGTGTTTCATACAATTAAATAATGCCCAAACAGTGACCATGCTTTATCCAAGAACACTTTCTTACCTTGACGTATAGTATACCCGTTAACTAGCAATTCATATACCCATTTAATGTTTTAAGGTGTGTAACTGATTAAATGTAAATGAGCCAGTTGTTTACGTGAGCAGAATAACGCTACACATGAGGAATATCAACATAAACAAAAAGAACAGGACTCGGTCCATCACCAGGGCGACCTGATGCCACTCGCTCAGCATCTCTTGTCGGGCCTCGCAAATAGCCGCCCGAGTAGTCAGCAGGTGCACCTGTTTCAGTATGTCGTCGACGTCGCGTTCAAGCTTCGTAGGGGGTCGTGAGTCCTGGTTGCTCATTGGTCCGTCCCCGAGACTTGACATCCCAACGGTGGCGGATTTGTCCAGTCCCCTCATGGTGATGGTCTCCATCTCGTCCAGAGGGTAGTAGTTGTCACTCCCCAGACACACCAGCCGCTTCAAACTCCGGAGGAAGATCTGCCAGCAAAATCAAGGTCGTCGTTAAGGTTCTATCACACTGAATTAGAATCAGTTGTTCCCCAAGTCGCTTTCATAGAGCCTTCAGTGCAGATTGAGACATCTGGCGGCTGTGTTTGGATGATATTGTGTTAGAGTTTTCATTGTTTGTAAATGTACATTCATCCAGTTATAAAAACTGATCATGTTTTTTTCAATATTAAGGGCTGCCTTTTTTAACATGGTGACTTACGTGACCAGATATGTTTTTAAGCAGCTGATATTTGGTGCGGAACTGGGGGGAAAACGGACATGGAACTGGCTAACATACTGTTTTGTTTTTAGTGTTGCTTAAGGCCAGACTCTATACACATGTGTATCTAAAAGCTGTTGGATGCCAAGTTAACAACGCGGTTGTTATTCCAAACTGTAATGATATTATAGTAGGACCTGCAACACACACATTTAAGTTGTGATTGTGATTTAGAATCAGCGCACAAGCGAGCCGGAGTGGATGACTCTACTACCCTCTATCAGCGTGCTCCAGCATACAGGGTCTTTTTGGAGTCTGTTGTTTTAGGCTATGTATTTCAAAACTATCTAACGAGAGAAAATGAGTTTGATACGTTTTGAACTACACAAGATGTAATTAAAAAGGGTATCTATCGGGGATGAGTGTGGTAATATATTTATTACTCACATAAACTTTGTACATTATCGAAGTATCAAGGCTGAATTAGGACGTTGTATAAGGTGTATCAGAGACCATGGTCTCTGGGTGTATGAACGCTGATGGTTCGCCCAGACTGTTCTCTCAATGCGCAACAGTGTGCAGCTTTCTCCAACATCGATTATAAGAAACGATATGATACCGATTCTAAAATCATGTTTACTGTAACATTTATATACACAGACATCCCAAATCTAGAATAAACGGCATTCAACGGAGCATCTAGCCTCAAACTCGGTTCAGTGTAGATGAGGGGAGCCCGCGAGGCGATCGACTCATCGAGTCATGTTGGCTGTGTGAGTTAATACGAGTTAGCAGATGGTGTACCTGCTGTGAAATTGGTTCGATTTATCTTAAAGCTATATCATCTGTTCAATTTCGGAGCAGGAACGATTCCCGACACGAGAAAGCATGGGTTGACAAGAGGACATTACTAACCACCGTCCACTGGTCCAAGTGGGGCAACAACACGAAGTTTAAGGTCGTAAGTAGGCGCGGCGATGAATGTTGATTTCGACATAATACAGTGTTTATTAGTAACGCTGTGTACCTTCATAATGCACTACCACAATACAAAATGATAGGTCGTATACTCTATTTCAACCGTATTTGTTCGACTATTCTGCGATAGATCACAGCGAACTGAAAAACACACGGACATAACATGTCGACACCACAGTTTTGAGATTCATGTGACTCATTGTGAAAAAAGTAGTGCCTTTCGTGAGTCGAGTAGACGTTCCAGAGTACAGCTGCACAGTGCTACCAACGCCCCTAGACGAATGACCTGATGTTATCACACAATGTGTAATACGGGTGTAGGGTTATTTTACGGGTGAGTAATAAAAACCTATTCAACATATCATCGCGTCACGACCAGCGTGACTCTTTACTTCAGCTTCATGAAGAGTGAATGAGTGAGTGAGTGAGTTGGGTTTAACGCCGCTTTTAACAGTATTCCAGTTATATCACGGCGTGTCAGCTTAATGTGGGAGGAAAGCCCGAAGTGATGCAGGTCTCGGACGTTTACCACTTCGGTGAAACCCACGAGTACGGGTATGGTGCTGACAAACCTAGAAACATAATCGGGGCGAACCGGGATTCGAACCCACAATCATAGGTTTCTGGCGTGCCCAGGGGACGCAACTCTGCACAGCGAATCGCGGCGCCTTAGACGACTGGGCCACCCGTGCCCCCCGCTTCATGAAGATGTTAAGAGTAGGGACGGTACTTCTGACATCTGCTTGTAGGGACGGTACTTCTGACATCTGCTTTAGCATATAATGTACTTAATGTTGCAGTGTTATATGATATTTTGCACGTTACGGCAGAGAATGTACATCTTTTGAAACTAATAGTCTCATTTAAATAAGCATGTACCGTAGTCAGACACTGTCGAGCGAAATCAACTTTTTCAACTTTTAAGTGTCGTCAGCTTTACGTCATGTTCAGTGATGACATGACATTGTTGAAATACTGTTTGTTAAAATTCAAAGAAACGTTTAATGTTTTCCGTCTTTCGTTTTCAAAATGAACGTTTGCTAATCTTGTCAAATGACTACTTTCTGATATTGCTACACGGATATCTGTTACTACTATCCACATATCACTGAACATTGTAACATGAGACAAAGTGTGGATAAACATGGATGTCAACAATGACGCTCTTTACCCATCTGATTATGTCTGGTACTTTCCCCCGACGGGGTCCTCTGTTGTGCACGTTGAGAACCCAGATGGACGCCAGCATTGACATCGTGACCCAGATCAGTGTCAGCATGTAATACATCTCTGCAACAACAAACAGCTGATCAACGTCATAATACTACATATATGCAACAATAAACAGCTGATCAACGTCAGACTGTGACATCTCTGCAACTACAAACAGCTGATCAACGTCAGAATATTACATTCTGCAACACCAAACAGCTGATCAACGTCTGAATATTACATGTCTGCAACTACAAACAGCTTATCAGAGTCTGAATATTACATCTCTGAGAGACCCGTGAAGATCCGGGGTAGAATAGGTCTTCAGCAACCCATGCTTGCCGTAAAAGGCGACTATGCTTGTCGTAAGAGGCGACAAACGGGATCGGGTGGTCAGGCTCGCTGACTTGGTTGATGCATGTCATAGATCCCAATTGCGTGGATCGATACTCATGATATTAATCACTGGATTGTCTGGTCCAGACTCGATTATTTACAGACCGCTGTAATGTTGCTGAGTGCGGCGTTAAACAACAAAGCAACCAAGTCAACGTCAGAATATTACATGTCTGCAACTACAAACAGCTTATCAGAGTCTGAATATTACATCTCTGCGAGGCCCGTGAAGATCCGGGGTAGAATAGGTCTTCAGCAACCCATGCTTGCCGTAAAAGGCGACTATGCTCGTCGTAAGAGGCGACTAACGGGATCGGGTGGTCAGGCTCGCTGACTTGGTTGATGCATGTCATAGATCCCAATTGCGTGGATCGATACTCATGATATTAATCACTGGATTGTCTGGTCCAGACTCGATTATTTACAGACCGCTGTAATGTTGCTGAGTGCGGCGTTAAACAACAAAGCAACCAAGTCAACGTCAGAATATTACATGTCTGCAACTATAAACAGCTGATCAAAGTCAGAATATTACATGTCTTAACGTCAGCACGTATAAGGAGTGACAGCAGGGGACATGGTAAGGAGTAGTTTAATGTCGACCCAGAAACTGATCTTGTCTCAATACAGTAAATGGGTCAATGTTGACGAGAAAACAATGTGGAATGTATTATATACAGAACCGAAAAAACTGTTCACTTTGCATGGTTTTGCAACATCAGCCATTATGGATCACTTCGCTTGAAAAAATCTTATTGATGTGAAAAGTGACCTTCAATGACGCCAGAACATCTATATGTTCTGAAAAAAAGATTTTAAGATAAACACACGGATCATTATCTTTGACAAGCATAATAAATAACCCTAGTTTCAGACATGCTATTACATTGTTAATACCGGCACAGGTGCTACTTTCTTGTCAGACAACGTCCGCCATGGTACGTCCCTCTAACATATCGGACAGATTGACATTATACACTTGCAACAAGTTGGAATCTCCCGATCATACATCACAGTCAGTCGCTGAGCCGCGACAGGGTAGACCCAGATATACGACTCTTGCCATCCATATACAACAGGAAAAACTGGCCACGGAGACCGATAATGGGTTCAATTAGAAACGTGGAGCCTCTCGGCTTCCCAATTACAGATGATGCATTAGACATAAAGTTGATAAAGAGCCTCAAGTAGCCAGCGACGAACGCTCACTCCTGTGACTTGTCTTGTCTACCGATCATTGCTTACATGGGGCACTGGTTAAACACGATCACTGGGTGACAGAGCTTGCAGTGAAGGGGACTGGTAAATGACAACAGAGTCAGGGAGACTGGTCTGCTTCTTCAACTGTCTGTGATAAACTAACCGTACCTACTAGCTGATGAATATACCGATTGTGACATACCAGTATTGTATATAAACCTATTTGTTCAATGTTATTTTTAATGCATTAATGTATTTCAACACTGTGTGGCCCATTCATCAAAGGAACCTCAATACTTTGTATGGTGTTGTGTCTCTTGGGCGTGCCATTATCCTGTGATCTTGGTTTCGAATCTGGATTTGCCATAATAATAATAATAATAATTATCAGTCTCGTACTTTGCTCCGTGGTCATGAAAACTGTTACACTGATTTAACCGAAATCCTGTAAAAAGCGGGATGGAACTCCCCAGTCTTTATCGCCGATTTTTACAGAAAAACGCTCAGCGCCATCTGGCGGTATTGTGACTCACCTATGGCGGGGATAGTGGCGACGGAGTCTGGTAGGACATCCTGCAGCTTCATACTGAGTAGCAACACCGACAGGATCAACACTGACCCTGCACAAATAATAGCAGAATTAGTATTTTTAAATAAATATAACTTGTCAACGCAAGAGAATAACCATCCTAGATTTTCTGCCAAAACAGATTCCACTTTGCGTAAAGGGCAAATAGCTGTGGATAAGCGAATAACATAACAACAAATGAGAACCTCAAATAAGAACCTTTCCTATCGTCTCGTCTTATTTTCAGGGGCTGCCCATTTGATATTGTGGTGGAGGAGATCGAGATTGTAGCTTTTTTTGGAACTGTTCCCGAAAATGCTGGTAAATAGTTTATCCTGAAATCTTACCAAACAAAATAAATCGTTAACTAGAAATGATGTATGTTCTAAAAAATAATGTTTTGTGGGTCGCCAAATGGTTGATTGGCTCTTCCATACATACAAAATATATTGTATGTCTTGAAATGCTGACACTAACACGTTGTACCTGACCATGCTTGTGATTGGCATTACATGTTGTGTACTATATGATCCTAGATGAGCCGTGTTTTATCTCAACTAGCGACTAATATCCTACCTAGTGTGAGCCTCTCTTTCGACTCCGGTGGAAGTAGGAGCTGGAATGGCACAAGAACTCCCAGGAGCAGAGCAGGGATGACGAAGATGTGGGCATAGTAGGCTGGGCTCCGTCTCAGTGTCAGGGTGATCATCATGTCAGGGTAGGGTTCTGGGCAGCACGAGTAATGGGTCTGCTTCACCGTGGCTGTGGAGCTGATGATCTTCCATTCGCTGTTCAGCAGTCCTCCGCCCAGGTCTATGGCGTGGTCGGCAGACCCTCCCCACAGACTGATGTTAATACCCGTCCCGCTGTATGTCCAACTGGACAACTGTATGCTACATACTTGCTCATCAAATGGAAACTTTGAGAGGTCAACTTGGCATAAGGTGCGCAATCGCACCGGATGCATCCAGTTCACGTGACCGGAAGCGTAAACCCGCACCATTGTTTGTACAATGTCAAATTGTGATTCAACACTGAAATGAAATGTACATTATATAATATACGATAATATTACATAGTTTTATCAGATGTAAGACACTCTATGCGATATCGATCCTCGGATGAATAGACACAAGGAACAACCAGCCCTTACTATTTATTCCCATATTTAACAGATTGTTTTCAGTCGTACCCTGCTGTAATTTATTGGCGAAAGGCATTGTCCTTTTTGCAAAGTGAGGTGCTCATATTGAAATACAGAAACCGAAATAATTTTTCTGGTGATATGTTTTGAAGCAGTCATTTGACCATCCTTTTCCATATGAGCATCCTACCATCTGTAGACACAGTGGGCATGTGCCAGTAATAAGCAGATATGGGTGGTGTCGTGGACACTTATTAAACTGAGATGAAGTGTCATGTGTGAATATTTAAAAGGGATACACGGAAGATCAGGACACATGAAAATATAGAATACACTGCGACAAACCTTTTTCTATAGTCATAGGAACATCAGAATGGGGCATTACATCGGATACAATTTTTGTGACTTATGCATCAAATTTGGAAATTTTCAAGCTTAATGGCCTTGAATATTACGGACAAGAGTAATATGATTTTTTTTTAAATCTTCTCACAAGGAGCATGTTCGATGTTACCTGAAAATGTGCGCAATGTCGACAACAAAGGCTGGAGCTGCTTGAAACTTGTTCCACATAAAGGGAAAGATGACTTCAGAAAAGATGAAAAAAATACAAGTGACAAAACCCTTTCCACATTCATAACCAGGGTATGAAACTCAAAAAAATTTCAGCCAGACCACAGGACTGGCTAGCTGAAATACTTGCCAGCCCTGACCAAAACCTGCCTGCCCACTATAATCATATGTTTCTCAGGATAATTTAATTAAAATTTTAAATCGAATTCATTGAACATGAAGTAATGCAAGAAAAGAAATAGCAAACACTTTTTAGGTCTGGTGAGCAAAGTGAATATACACTACCTCATTTTCAGTTACAGATATATCTGTCGAGCCATCAGAAAGAATGGTGCAAAAATGAGCTTCCATAATTTTCTTCTCAATTTTCTGTCTCTCAACTTCTGCAATGGCCACCAAACATTCTTTACATGAGTTATCATTCAGGTAAGTATTGCCGAGATCAACACCATTCTGTTTAGACACAAGACAAAGTTCTCTAAAATCAGATATTGGTCTGGACATTTTCGCTAAATAATGTGCATTCCTGAACAGCTTTGTCAATCTGTCAAACACTGCAGCATTTAACTTTTGTTTTGTTTTTTCTGCAAAGCTCACTTCTGCAGAATGAGAGTCTTGATGTTGCACAGCATGGCGATGTCCTTCTGACTTTATGCCTCAAGTTACTACAACCAGTAACAAACGGCCCCTGAATATTTTCTAAACTTGTCACTAACCACTTTCCTAGCGAGTGGACCATACACAGAACGGCAAGTACCACAGTACACGAGCTCACGATTATCGTCTGTCACCAACCATGGGCGGATACAGCTTTTTTTAAAAGGGGGGGGGGGAGGGGGGGGGGGGGGTGCACAATCAAGATCTATTTATTGTCTTTGGTTGTAATTTATACAGAAATAAAGATATTTTTTTTCGAAATAAAAAGGGGGGTGGTGCGCACCCCTCTGTATCCGCCCTCCGCCCATGCCATTTCCAAGAAGGAACGATCGTTCGCTTCGTGCTATCATAGATCTTGTCTCTTTCAGCCTGTGACTTTGCATTTTTCTTGTCATCACTGACTTCAGGTAAACCAAGAAACTTTAAAAGACTCATGCTGTCGAGCAACGTGGGTAATGGGCGCCGCCATTTGCAATATCACTAGCAACAGAAACAGGGTGGTTGATTGGTCGTCGTGTCGGGGATTATCCAATCAAATAGCTTGTCTCAAAATATGAAAACTGATTGCTTGTAGCATAAGCGCATCGCTAAATTTTAGGTTGTCTAAAAGCTAACGGGGTTTCTTTTTGGTTACATTTTATCATTCATCTTTACATGTGAATTAATGCTTATCATCGGGAAATATTTAGAATATTTTCACATATGAAATATAACCCGACCGTCGGGCAGGGGGATTTGAAAATCTGGCAGCCCGAGTTGAAATCAACCCGTCTCGGACGGTCGGGCAGGCAGGTATTTCGAACACTGTCATAACATGCCTTGATTGTACGATTCAACTTTATCATGAGCGTGTGTCCGTCACAAACACTTGCACAGAAGTCACCCCTCTTACAGTCATGAGGAGAGCGTTTTGTCACTCCGAATCTTAATGCATACCTGTTTCACTAGTTTCTTTCAGTTATAAATCAGGTGGGTAAATCCACAGAAGGGACATTTTGACCATTAATGAATTATATCAGATCAGCGATATACCGGAAGGATGTTAAACTTCTTGGCCTAATTCCATTGTTTTGACTTTGCCAATGCCAGCAGGTATTACAATTCATAGGCATAAAGCAACCGATCACCAAGAGTGTGAGTGAGTGAGTTGGAGTAGACGCCGCTTTTAACATTATTCCAGTTATATCACGGCGTGTCAGCTTAATGTGGGAGGAGAGCCCGAAGTGATGCAGGTCTCAGACGTTTACCACTTCGGTGAAACCCACGAGCACGGGTATGGTGCAAACAAACCTAGAAACATAGTCGGGGCGAACTGGGATTCGAACACACAATCATAGGTTTCTGACGTGCCAAAGAGACGCAACTCTGCACAGCGAATCGCGGCGCCTTAGAAGACTGGGCCACCTCCGATCATCAAGAATGGGAGGACAATTGGTACCCACAGGGATGTCTACTTCTTAGAGCTATCTACGAATCCAGCATTTCATAAATTATTTGAAACTTGAGATGCCATTTGCGTTCATTTTTGATACATTGTCCTGTACCTTTGCACCACTGATGAAGGAATTAATGTTTTCTTTTTTTGTAAGTTTGTGGTGGGGTATGATGGGACATAAAGTGTTTTAACATAATTGAAGTTGGTTCTTTTGTTAAATTGTAACATTCAGAAAATCCTAGAATCTTTTTATTATCCACATGGTATTGATTCGACTTTTTTTCACATACGTTCTGAGAATATAATGAAAGCCATTCGTTGATTGTATTGATGATCATGGTTATTAGTTGAGACAAGGATTTGGTGATATATTTGCTGGATCAAGCAATATATCTCTCATCGTACGGAATTTCATAGTACTTTGGAATTCATCACAAAAGAGGAATGGAAATGTCCTCAGGTTTTTACTCAAGTTGATAGTACTGTATCATGGTTTGGGCAGATTTCTTCTTCAATTAACATACTGGCCTAATATGTGGAATTAATTGATATATCATGTTTAGTTCATGTAGTGAAGATTACATATAATGGTTACGTTATTTGAGGCCTTGTTAGTGGACAAAAACTACAAACTGTTCAAGTAGGAAAGCCAGACTTTGGATGGCTGGGACAGAACAGGTTTATACCAACACTCTTTCTTCTTGTTTCGTGTGCGCATTCTACCATTGACAACATCACGCACAGACAGAGCCGTGTCTGGAAGACATTCATCAGGTTTATCTTCTCTATTGACACATTTTGGGGCAAACGTTGTGATCCCAATTTGCAGCAGGCAATAATATTTTGGTCCATATTTGAATAACGACGGTTGTTATTGTCAACAATAGACAGGTCACCTGTGATTATTTGACCAGCCGATTGGTAGCAGTATGATGAGCCTTAGTAGCTTCACGTGGTAGAAATTACAACATGAGCTGACAAGTCGTCGTTGATCAAGTTACTAAAATTGAAGAACGTTGGTGAAATGGTGGTGGTGTGGGAAGTGTTGGTGGTTCTTGAAATTTAAAGTAATGTGAGACACGGTTTTGTATATGAGAATGTTACTTAAGTTTAAAGCATCAATTCCCTTGTTTGCAAATTTTCCATTCAGGAACATGCAGTCTTTTGTTATAATATAGTGAAATCAGTTCCGGTTTGGCCAATATGTAGAACTATACTACCTAGTCGGTTCTGCGGACTACTGTTTGTGAACCTAACTCGTTTGATGTTTTCCAACGACTCCGAGTTCAGCCTTGAAACAGGGGCCACCATTCTTCCAATGGTATCCCTAGGTGCTGAACATAAATTTCGTGGTAATTGCTATAGTGATGTAAACATCGTGGTGTACACCTCAAGTTCATATACGATGCAACGCTCTACCTACTTGTTGTAGGGGACGATGTCGGGCAGCCAGATGAGGCTGGAGGGCATGCTGATGCTGTCCACGTTGCTGTAGTCTTTCTTGTTCCACTTGAGACGCAGGTCGTGCCAGTTCTTCCTCAGGTACGCACACATCTCCAGGTACTCGTTCTTCTCGTTCTGAAACACCACACATTCTGTTATGATTCCCCGCCAATCATTCTGTTATGTTTCCCTACAAATCATTCTGTGTTGTGTTTCCCCATCGACCATTCTGTGTTGTGTTTCCCCACCAACCATTCTGTGTTTTGTTTCCCCACCAGTCATTCTGTGTTATGTTTCCCAACCAGTCATTCTGCGTTATGTTTCCCCACCACTCATTCTATGTTATGTTTCCCTACCAATCTTTCTGTGTTATGTTTCCCCACCAGTCATTCTGTGTTATGTTTCCCTACCAATCATTCTGTGTTATGTTTCCCTACCAATCATTCTGTGTTATGTTTCCCTACCTATCATTCTGAGTTATGTTTCCCCACCACTCATTCTATGTTATGTTTCCCTACCAATCTTTCTGTGTTATGTTTCCCTACCTATCATTCTGTGTTATGTTTCCCTACCTATCATTCTGAGTTATGTTTCCCCACCACTCATTCTATGTTATGTTTCCCTACCAATCTTTCTGTGTTATGTTTCCCCACCAGTCATTCTGTGTTATTTTTCCCTACCAATCATTCTGTGTTATGTTTCCCTACCAATCATTCTGTGTTATGTTTCCCTACCTATCATTCTGAGTTATGTTTCCCCACCACTCATTCTATGTTATATTTCCCTACCAATCTTTCTGTGTTATGTTTCCCTACCTATCATTCTGTGTTATGTTTCCCTACCTATCATTCTGAGTTATGTTTCCCCACCACTCATTCTATGTTATGTTTCCCTACCAATCTTTCTGTGTTATGTTTCCCTACCTATCATTCTGAGTTATGTTTCCCCACCACTCATTCTATGTTATGTTTCCCTACCAATCTTTCTGTGTTATGTTTCCCTACCTATCATTCTGAGTTATGTTTCCCCACCACTTATTCTATGTTATGTTTCCCTACCAATCTTTCTGTGTTATGTTTCCCCACCAGTCATTCTGTGTTATGTTTCCCTACCAATCATTCTGTGTTATGTTTCCCTACCTATCATTCTGAGTTATGTTTCCCCACCACTCATTCTATGTTATATTTCCCTACCAATCTTTCTGTGTTATGTTTCCCCACCAGTCATTCTGTGTTATGTTTCCCTACCAATCATTCTGTGTTATGTTTCCCTACCTATCATTCTGAGTTATGTTTCCCCACCACTCATTCTATGTTATGTTTCCCTACCAATCTTTCTGTGTTATGTTTCCCTACCTATCATTCTGAGTTATGTTTCCCCACCACTTATTCTATGTTATGTTTCCCTACCAATCTTTCTGTGTTATGTTTCCCCACCAGTCATTCTGTGTTATGTTTCCCTACCAATCATTCTGTGTTATGTTTCCCTACCTATCATTCTGAGTTATGCTTCGTCAGCGTACAGCCCAGCCTGCTTGTACACAGCTGACGTAATTCAAAATTAACAAACCGTTTATATTAGATTCAACAAAATCAGTATTTGTACTCTCCTGTCACTGGATTTTCTGAGTCATCGATCACTTATTTGTCTGGTTTGTTTACAGGCTGACATCGCATGGTAGGAATGGTGCTGCGTGAGGCAATAAATAGTTACTTTTTTATGCAAATTGTATGAATGGCGGGTGCTATTGGCAGAGCAGGACATGCTTACTCTTGTCGGAAATTTTGTATGTTAACTTCTCAATCAATAAAATAGTTCACTGTATGTGTAACAGTTATAACCATAACTAAGCTGAATGGGATCCCTAATGTAGCCTTCCAGTGTGGCGCTTGCATAGAGATTTACACCTCATCTGATCTGTCAGTTATTCAGGTGTTCCTCGGGATCAGGGAAAAATTTCATTCAAAAGTTAGCTGAGGTGGGCTGTCACCTCCATATGTGTGCTGTTCCTTGTTAGACCTTTCACTCTGTCTATGAATTACCTTAAGAGTTTCGTTTAAAGCGCCAGAACTGTTGGTAATTATCCTATAACTATAGCCTTAGACACCAGAACTGTTGGTAATTGTCCTATAACTATAGCATTAGACACTAGAACTGTTGGTAATTGTCCTATAACTATAGCCTTAGACACCAGAATTGTTGGTAATTGTCCTATAACTATAGCCTCAGACACTAGAACTGTTGGTAATTGTCCTATAACTATAGCCTTAGACACTAGAACTGTGGGTAATTATCCTATAATTATAGCCTTAGACACTAGAATTGTTGGTAATTATCCTATAACTATAGCCTTAGACACAAGAACTGTTGGTAATTATCCAATAACTATAGCCTTAGACACTAGAACTGTGGGTAATTGTCCTATAATTATAGCCTTAGACACTAGAATTGTTGGTAATTATCCTATAACTATAGCCTTAGACACAAGAACTGTTGGTAATTGTCCTATAACTATAGCATTAGACACTAGAACTGTTGGTAATTGTCCTATAACTATAGCCTTAGACACCAGAACTGTTGGTAATTGTCCTATAACTATAGCCTCAGACACTAGAACTGTTGGTAATTGTCCTATAACTATAGCCTTAGACACTAGAACTGTGGGTAATTATCCTATAATTATAGCCTTAGACACTAGAATTGTTGGTAATTATCCTATAACTATAGCCTTAGACACTAGAACTGTTAGCCTTATTGATAATCCCAACCTGAACGTTATGAATCTTTGTGCACTGGCAACCATATGACAGACGACATTGCCGACGTCACGTTATGGCCGAGGTCAAGGTAGCGCAGTCGGATGTAGCGATCTTGGGCGAGGTGGTTACTCTTTGTCGTCCCGATCTTGGCCGATCACGTGTTGACCCATGCTGTTGAAACCGATCCCATAGCCTTGTAGTGGTGCTGGGCGCTACATTGAAAACGCTTGCTACAGCTGATTGGGATTTCCTTTGCACTTCTGTTAATTTTGGCATGTTGTTGAACTGTCATTGTTCGATTGACGTAGATGCCAGGCAACCAAAAACCCTGCACTTTAATACCGTTCATAGTGCTGCTGCACGTGCGTGCTGCTCCATGACACTTGGTGTGTTTTTCCGAATCGTACGTGTTTCCCTATTAATGGTTTGCATGTCCTTCTTGTGATCATTTTGATCCGGGAAATTTGTCACTGACACTATAACACATTAAACCTCTTCATTTTGCACCTCTTGGTCCGCTAATTTTGCTTTTATGGCCAAAACATCCATTTTGCATTTCATTTTTGAAGAGTATATAATGTCATTCTTTAATTTTGTCGTCGAAATCTCTCTTCTCATCACTTACAAACATAACCTAAACATTGGACGTTTTCCTGGATGTGCGTATTAATACATGTTACGTCAGAAGGTCAGTGATTTGTCAGTCGGACAGTGACAACAGTCAATATAGTTCCAACTTCAACTTCTTTCTTAGACAGTGGCGTAATTACATTTCGGCAAAATAACAATTACCTGCACATATTGTTTCTACTTGCCTTTCACGGCAATCTATCGGTCTGCCCGCTAGAGTAACAGCCATTTATCAAAGAGAAGCGAGTCTAACCCAAGTCTATGAGACGTCACGTTTGTGTAGAGTCTGCCTGTCCTGTCATAACGTTACGAAGTGCAGTCAGGTGTACACACAGCAACAAAATGAAACACGGTAACAATTTTGACATATTTCGGCCAAATCCAACTGTTTTAATTTGGGCAATAGCCCCAAAGTCGCAGAGGTATAAACGCACAGATATGGAAACTGATCAAGCTTGGCTGGTCTCCTCGCCAAATTGTCTCGCAATGTATATCCCCAAAGTTGCCAAAACTTGTAAAATGCCTTAACTACATCCCAGTTGTTCACTGATTTCCTGTATCTTAGACCATTGTTTTAATATGATATCAATTATCCCGGTAGTTTCTGGAGACTATCGACTGTTAATGCTGACTCGATTGCCGTTTGACAAGGGCGACGCCATGTTTGTTTGTCAACACCGAAAGTAGGACCTGCTTGACCGTTCATATTTGCATCTTTGTCCTTATACGACCCAAACGGATATCCGTGAAACGTACCTATTGTATGATAGATATAAGTATCACAACCGGCGGTGAATACGATCCAACCAGATCTGAAGGCCTAAATACACAAGGAAAAGCAAATCTTTCTGTGGTATGTTTGCAATATTAATTAACAATATTCATAAAGTATTTTCATAATTCATATTGATTTAACGATTTTTTTGTTTTAAATATTGTTTGTTTTCACTTTGCTTTGATAAATACAGCAGGGTGTTAACATATTTCAAGAGGTACATACTAGAACTAAAATATGCTATAATTTTAATTTTTCTATTGCCTACTAACCTTCTACCCATTACAACAATTTAATACAATATACTTGTAAAAACTGCTAATCATTCAGATTTCTTTTCTTAATTTCTAAACACCTTTAGATAATGACATGTTTAGAATATAGACATGTTCAACATAATTCTAAAAACATTTTGGCCTCAGTGGAGTGCGTTTATGTTTGCCGTTTAGGATCCACATGAGTGCACCACATAGGGGAATATTTTGGGGTATTGTTATAATTTGTTTATTTTTCTATAGCAGAAAACTAGAATGTTGTCTAAGGCCAACTCTTGTGTCACTTTGAACTTCATCACGGCCGATGCTACTCAGAGTACAGGACACTGGGTTTATCAACTATGTTTAAAGAATACTTGTTTAAAGAATGTTGCTGTGACAGAGCTGTGAAGCTGCTACTGACCAGGTCGAGGATCTTGACGATGATGATGCCGAGGGAGACCTGGATCGGTTCTGTGGCATTCTCCGCGGGTCTCACTGATGCCTCGTAGTCATCCAGGAGGTCCCTCATCAGCTGCTGCTCGGAGGCCAGGTAGGGGTAGGCGGACCGGTTGAACGCTGCAAACAGTACACAGAATATACATGTGGACAGTTAATAGAGCAGTTCATTTAGTCACTAACCTTCTGTACAATGTTGGAGAAAACATTTCCTGGTTGCCTTTTCACGACAAGGGGGTGAATGGTTGAGTGAGCAGCAATTAAACGTCACATCGACAGTATCTCAGCCATATAGCGACGAGAGAGAGGGGAATGAGTTTGATGCCATTGCTTGCCGAAGGTGTGAGTGAGTGAGTCGGGTTTAACGCCGCTTTGAACAGTATTCCAGTTATGTCACGGCGGGTCAGTGGGAGGAAAGCCCGAAGTGATGCAAGTCTCTGACGTTTACAACTTTGGTGAAACCCACGAGCACGGGTATGGTGCTGACAAACCTAGTAATGAAATCGTTACGAACACAAAACCATATGTTTTTTGCGTGCCAAAGGGCCAAAACTTTACACAGCAAAATATCTTTGCCTCTTGTGTCACTTATGCCCCCGCCGAATATGTAGTGTTGCAGTCATATGGTGCGGGCAAACAAAGGATAATGATTAGGAAGAATCGTGTATTTGACCGCACGATCATCAGATCAAGGCATATAAAAAGGGAAGCAATTCTGCACAACGAATAACTTTTAATCTCAACCATCGACAAGTATAAAATAAGATTATCCCTGTTGTACATTGCAATGGAGTTACATGGACAACATACCCGTGAAGATCCGGGTAAGAAGTGGTCTTCTGCAACCGTAATGTTTGCCGTAAGAGGCGAGTAACATGATAAGGTGGTCAGGTTCGCTGACTTTGTGGATGCATGTCATCGTGCTCCAGTTGAGTAGATCGATGGCCATGATGTCACTGGATTGTCTGGTCTACACTTGATTATTTACAGACCGCCTTCATGTAGCTGGAATATTGCTGAGTGCGGCGTTGCAGAACAAACACACAAACAACATAGACAAGACTGTTTATCAGAATGAGATGAACACATTCTCTTGAATGGTGAACATTACATTTTTAACATTTGGTTTCAGATAGTTTCTTCACGTCACTTGATCCCTGGACCAAGGATACAGAGCATATGCACTGCCTGTTCCATGTCGTGCCCACAAGATGATCAGACAGGATCCACGCAAACAATACATGTAAGATGACGTCAGCATATATCACCCAACTAACAAAATGAGGTCAGCATATATCATCATGCTGACAAGGTGAGGTCAGTATATATCATCATGCTGACAAGGTGATGTCAGTATATATCATCATGCTGACAAGGTGAGGTCAGTATATATCATCATGCTGACAAGGTGAGGTCAGCATATATCATCATGCTGACAATGTGAGGGCAGTATATATCATCATGCTGCCAAGGTGAGGTCAGCATACTAGTATATCATCATGCTGACAAGGTGAGGTCAGTATATATCATCATGCTGACAAGGTGAGGTCAGTATATATGATCCTTCTCAAAAGAAGAGGTAAGTAAGTATCACCCTCCTCACAAGGTAAGGACAGGTATATATCATCTGCGCACAAGAGAAGGTCAGTGAGCATCACCTTGTTCACAAGGTCAGAACAAGTATATATATCACTCACAAGGTAAGGTCAGTATATATCATCCCACTCACAAGGTGAGGTCAGTATATATCATCTCACTCACAAGGTAAGGTCAGTATATATCATCCCACTCACAAGGTGAGGTCAGAATATATTACCCCACTCATAAGGTAAGGTCAGTATATATCATCCTGCTCACAAGGTGAGGTCAGTATATATCACCACACTCCCAAGGTAAGGTCAGTATATATCATCCCCCTCACAAGGTGGTCAGTATATATTATCCCACTCACATGGTGAGATCAGTATATATCATCCTGCTCACGAGGTGAGGTCAGTATATATCATCTACTCAAAGTGAGATCAGTATATATCATCTGCTCACGAGGTGAGGTCAGTATATATCATCTACTCAAAGTGAGATCAGTATATATTATCTGCTCAGAAGGTGAGGTTAGTATATATCATCCTACACATGAGGAGAACGTGGTATATATTACACACAATGGGAGCAACTTTGTGCAAATGTTGTTTTTTCTAGAGATCTAAAGATAACTTTGTACATTGAACCTGGAATGTAAATGCAATACAAGCTGTACATTGTAAGGGTTAATTACAAGGCCTTGTCGTGTGGGATTATTGGGGAAACGCCAGACTGCTAGCCTCACGGGATCGGACAGCAGATATTGAAGACTTGTTTCCATCCTTTAAGGGTATACAGTTTCGTTTGCCAGAGACTTGAGTTGACAAACGCTTCTTATGCCAATATGGATTTTAAAAGTTACTACAAACCACACAATTGCAAACGAAACTAAGTTAATCAGTCAGTATCTTCCCAGTTTATTCTGACATGAAGGGCAGAACGCACTGATATTCAGTTGGCAGAAACACTATCACAAGTTGACCCCAAGGCTCCTTCACATTAAATGAGAGTATGATGCGATTACATATCCGTTCAAGGCGTGAAACACGATCTATGTCCGTGCAACACACAAGCTGCCCGCCTCGGCGTTGTTACAACGACGTCGCGGTAACACGACACGACAACACAACTCTAGAGTCCGCTCAAACAGAGGTAACTAGATTTGTAGGCTGTAATGTAATAGGCAAGATTGATTTGTGAAATGTAACCATGCATTAGCCTCATTATGCTACCGTTCACATCAAATTTGGTTCCAACAGCTTGTTGTTAGCATTGCTGTCTTCCACATAATGTCAGAGAGTGTTGCTTAAGTAGCTGAAGGACGCAGCCTGGTTAGTTTATCTCGATACGAAGATGGACGGTATGAGGTGGCTGCTGATGCTGCGCGTGAGACGTTATGACACGTATAGCGGAAGATGAGATTGGATTCACTCACACGCGGTTTGAAACAATATTCCAATAACGCTACTCATAGGCTGAGTTAATGGGTTTGGCGATAATGACAAAGATATTTCACATGCTTTGTTTTTGTTGTTTGTTGTTTAACGCCGCACACAGCAATATTCCTACCATATGATGGCGGTCTGTAAATAATCGAGTCTTGACCAGACAGTCCAGTGATTGATATCATGAGCATCGATCCACGCAATTAAGGTATTGTGATATTTATCAACCAAGTCAGCGATCCGTTCGTTGCCTCTTACGGTAAGCATGGGTTGCTGAAGATCTATTCTAACCCGGATATTTCACGGGTTTATTTCACATCCAATACGCTGTAAGATTGTATCATCTCGGACCAACACGCTGTAAGATTGTATCATCTCGGTCCAATACGCTGTAAGATTGTATCATCTCGGTCCAATACGCTGTAAAATTGTCACATCTCGGTCCAATACGCTGTAAGATTGTATCATCTCGGACCAACACGCTGTAAGATTGTATCATCTCGGTCCAATACGCTGTAAAATTGTATCATCTCGGTCCAATACGCTGTAAAATTGTATCATCTCGGACCAACACGCTGTAAGATTGTATCATCTCGGTCCAACACGCTGTAAGATTGTCACATCTCGGTCCAATACGCTGTAAGATTGTCACATCTCGGACCAACACGCTGTAAGATTGTATCATCTCGGACCAACACGCTGTAAGATTGTATCATCTCGGTCCAACACGCTGTAAGATTGTATCATCTCGGTCCAATACGCTGTAAGATTGTATCATTTCGGTCCAATATGCTGTAAGATGGTTACATCTCGGACCAACACGCTGTAAGATTGTCACATCTCGGACCAACACGCTGTAAGATTGTATCATCTCGGACCAACACGCTGTAAGATTGTCACATCTCGGTCCAACACGCTGTAAGATTGTATCATCTCGGACCAACACGCTGTAAGATTGTATCATCTCGGTCCAACACGCTGTAAGATTGTATCATCTCGGTCCAATACGCTGTAAGATTGTATCATTTCGGTCCAATATGCTGTAAGATTGTATCATCTCGGACCAACACGCTGTAAGATTGTATCATCTCGGTCCAACACGCTGTAAGATTGTATCATCTCGGTCCAATACGCTGTAAGATTGTATCATTTCGGACCAACACGCTGTAAGATTGTATCATCTCGGTCCAACACGCTGTAAGATTGTATCATCTCGGACCAACACGCTGTAAGATTGTCACATCTCGGTCCAACACGCTGTAAGATTGTATCATCTCGGTCCAACACGCTGTAAGATTGTATCATCTCGGACCAACACGCTGTAAGATTGTATCATCTCGGACCAACACGCTGTAAGATTGTATCATCTCGGACCAACACGCTGTAAGATTGTATCATCTCGGACCAACACGCTGTAAGATTGTATCATCTCGGTCCAACACGCTGTAAGATTGTATCATCTCGGACCAACACGCTGTAAGATTGTATCATCTCGGACCAACACGCTGTAAGATTGTCACATCTCGGTCCAATACGCTGTAAGATTGTATCATTTCGGACCAACACGCTGTAAGATTGTATCATCTCGGTCCAACACGCTGTAAGATTGTATCATCTCGGACCAACACGCTGTAAGATTGTCACATCTCGGACCAACACGCTGTAAGATTGTATCATCTCGGTCCAACACGCTGTAAGATTGTATCATCTCGGACCAACACGCTGTAAGATTGTATCATCTCGGACCAACACGCTGTAAGATTGTATCATCTCGGACCAACACGCTGTAAGATTGTATCATCTCGGACCAACACGCGGTAAGATTGTATCATCTCGGTCCAACACGCTGTAAGATTGTATCATCTCGGACCAACACGCTGTAAGATTGTATCATCTCGGACCAACACGCTGTAAGATTGTCACATCTCGGTCCAATACGCTGTAAGATTGTATCATCTCGGTCCAATACGCTGTAAGATTGTCACATCTCGGTCCAATACGCTGTAAGATTGTATCATCTCGGTCCAACACGCTGTAAGATTGTATCATCTCGGACCAACACGCTGTAAGATTGTATCATCTCGGTCCAACACG